GGGATATTTAAATCCCCCGCGCATTTCCCTACTACGACTCATGAAATTTACATGCCCCTTCCGGAAAAGGGGCCAGTGTAGACGAGCCCTTAGAGTCTTTCCATTGATTTTAATAGGCTTTGGATCAGGTCCTTTGGGATTAGCCTCATCTCAGTAGTGGGCTGATCCAAACTCCAGTCGTGAATGTTGGGAAAGTCCACTTACAGACTATGCAGCTTGGGTCCAGTGTCAGTTTCATGCCTCCTCTTCCCCACTTGTCTTTTTACATTTTGCCTTCTATCCATATGACTGCAGATCAGTGCAGATCACACACCAAGGAAAATGTTCTCTGTGTGTCGATGTCTTACAGGCCTATTCCATATAGATTGTTAACTAGACAATCTTTTTGTGAATTCATGCCTAATTATATTGTCAGTGGTTTCTGCTTTCCATAGCTCTTTCGTACAGTTTCTTCTGTAGGTTAAATGCAAGTCCATAAAGAAAGGGAACTGATGCAGGCCATAAGCCTGCACAGAATTACTTGTGTATTGAATTGTGTACACTTTGAGTAGTTCCTTTGAAGCCAAAAGTCTCCTGAGGTCAACAGGAGCTTTCCATTGATCTCAATGGGCTTTGGATCAGGCCTATGGTGTATAAAATTAAGCATCTGTGGTCTTTGCAGGATCAAGGCATTAGATTCTTCTGCATTTTATGTTTTGGTTCCCTCCTTTATTTAGAACATATGTCTTATTCTCCTGTATTTTTTGTGAAACGTTTACAGATTTCTATGTAACACAAAAGGTGGTTTATGCAGATATAGCTTGAGTGTAATGCAGATCAGAGCTAATATTCAGCTGGCTCATAACAGATGTGGTATTATATCCAACGTCCCTCATTGCAAAGATTATTGTACATGTTTGTATGCATCCCACAGTGCCTGGCAACACCATCTGTTGCTAGGTGTTGTGGGACCATGGAACAGAGCGTGGGGCATCTCGGGACCATGCAAACTTTCCTGTCAGGCACCACTTTGTTCAGGGGTTTCCGGCGTCCTTTCATGAGTTTTTTCCAGCAGACATTGTCTACTACGCAATCCAGCATCTGCAGTGCGAGAGAATGGCTCCCGCACTTCTCTTGCATGCTCTGGTAACTGTGGTGAGAACTTCGTGTATAGCAGAGGAGGAAGACTCGGAGGATCCTGGTAGTGTGAGTGATATGGACAGTGGCAGTTGGCAGTCCCAGAGCAGCTGTAAGGGTAGTCTGGGGAAACCAGCACCGAGTGGTGGGATCACATCATCATGCAAGCGTGGGGTGAAGACCAGCACCTACTGAACTTTAGGGTGCGTAAAGCAACCTTCCTGTAGCTGTATGCAGAGCTGGCCCCCGAACTGTGGAGAAAAGACATCAGAATAAGAGCTGCCCTCTCCGTTAAGTAACACGTGGCAATTGTTGTGTGGAAGCTGGCAACTCCCGATTGCTACCGGTCCGCTGCAGATAGGTTTGGAGTGGGGAAGTCTACCGTCGGGGCTGCAGCCCTGAGAGCTGGTAAAGGAGATACTGGCAAAGGGTTACAACTCACAAATGTACGTAGGTTCAGGTATCATCATCGAAGTTGGGAGAGGGGGTGGAGCGCATGAGAAAGTGCAGACTCCCAGAGCGGGAAAAAGGAATGGAAAGCATAGAGGGGGGGATTGCTGGACAGAGAATTTTGAATCTGCTGCAAGGGTGGGCACACCCATGTTGGCTCACTGTACTGCTTCACTAGACACTTCAGGAGCTCAGTCTGTTCCTCCATTACCCTGATTGTGCGTTCTGCGGCCTGCCTGGCAAAGGCCTGTTTGTCCTTGCGATTCCTCAGCTTCTTTTACAAGCGTTTTTCCAGATGTCTGTGCTCACTCGCTGATTGATTGATTGATTGATTTAGCACTTTGCAAACCAAACCCTCCCTGTGTTTTCTAGGACATTTCCTTATCTGTGCAACCTCTCTGACGTGGTGCACAGAAGGGCCACCCAGGTCTCTGTTCAGCACAATGCACAAAACATTGAGTCCTCCATTGTAACGTTTCACTGACAAACCCCTTTTCCAACATTTCCACTCCCTTTCCCTCTGACTCTTGCAAGGAATGCATCTCGGCAAGCATCCTAATCGTGGTGAGTGAAGGGGTGGGGGTGGCTGGCGGTTGTGCATACGGACAAAAGTAATTCCAGCCGGGGCTAGAAAAGTCCTTTTGCAGGAACATAGTTCTAATTATGCCCCACTTCTCCACAAGCTGGGAACTAGGGATATTAAATATTGGTTAATTGAAAAGTCGAGTAACCTCATGGAAATTTTATTGGTTAGTCGACTATTCTATAGTCCCTGGGGGCGGGGCCATTGTATCAGAGGCAGCAGCGTGGGGTGGAAGACAGGAGCTGGTCCACAAAGGGAGCCAGCTTAAAAACCAGCTCCCCTCGCGGACTGGCTGCCTGTCACCTTGTGCTGCTGCTTCTGAGAGAGAGGCTTTATTTTCCAAAAGATCCCCGTCTAGACTGGCGCTTTTTTCTGGCAAAGCCCCGAGCCGGAAAAAAGCGGCAGCCCTGTTCCTGCAACCCCGCTTCATTTGCAATTCCGACTTGTCTCATCTGCATCCCTTTTCCGGAAAAGGGGTGCAGTGTAGACATAGCCTTAGTGTTTGCACTGAGGGAGGACAAGAGAAAGGATTCAATTCTCGTGCATTTGTTTGTGGGCCATAATCTAAATGATCTGTGTATTTAAAACAGTTGGTCAGGAAATGGATTTTTCCCTGTAGATTAGAAAGTTTTGAGTTTTTATTAAAAAAACAAACAAACACTAAAAAGCTTTTGGTCATAAAGTTTTCTGTATTCAGGATTGTGGGTTTTTTGGTGAAAGGTCAACATTTTCTAGAGAAAGCAGACACTTTCTGAATAAATAAATCAAACAAACCTCCAATTTTCTGTTGAAAAAACCCAACAGTTTAGATGGAACATTTTCAACCAGTCCTAGTATGTAAGCCATGAATATTTTGTCTGTCCTTTTCCCTCAAGACGTGAGTTCATCCTTTAAATCCTTTAAAATATATCACATGTCTGCAAAGAGGGAGAAATATCTTGGTATCTCATTGCTTTCAGTACTCGTTAATGCCACTTTTATTACCTAGGAACATCCTTTTCCCCTAGATCAGCTGAAGGAAAAAAAGTGTGTGTCCTATTCTTTCATTCAGAGCCTAACCTCTTAATGCTGGTGAGAGGATAAAAGTGTTTATTAATTACATTCTCTCTGCCCCATCAATTCCTCACTCCAAATTCTTCTCAGTTTGCTAGGTTGCGAAGTTTTGAGATTACACTCATAAAATATGCAAATAAAATGTTACCAGTCCACCAAAAGTTTGTGAATGGGTTTGCTGGTCCCCGGCATGAAAAAGATTGGGAACTACTGGCATTTATCACATTAGAGGATGTGCAGTTGTATGAGCCCTTAATGTGGCTTATGTGGTTAGGTCCTGTGGTGGTGTTGCTTGTTTAGATATGTGGACAGAGTTGGCAATGGGGTTTGTCGCAGGGAAAGGCTCCTGGGTGAGTGTATGGGTATGTCTAGACTGCATCCCTCTATTGGCAGAGGGATTCAGATTAGGTAGGTCGACATTGCAAATGAGGCAGGGATTTAAATATCCCACGTCTAATTTGCATAAAAATTACCGTCATGTTTTGTGGACTCAGTACTTTGTCAGCAAAAAGCGGCAATCTAGAGGATCTGTTGAGAAAGAAAGCCTTTTTTGACAGATCCTGTAAACCTCCTTACAGGAGACATAAGGAATCTGTCAAAAAAGGCTTTCTTTCTCAACAGATCCTCTAGATTGCCGCTTTTTGCTGACAAAGTACTGAGTCCACAAAACATGACGGTAATTTTTATGCAAATTAGACGTGGGATATTTAAATCCCTGCCTCATTTGCAATGTCGACCTACTCCCTCTGCGGACAGTCTAGACATAACCTATCTGAGGTGTGTGGCTGCTGCTATGTGTTTGCCTAAGGTTGGGGGGCTGTCTGTAGGTGAGGATTGGTCTGTCTCCCAAGGTCTGTGAAAGTGAGAATCATTTTCCAGGATAGATTATAGATTGTCGATGATGCGCTGGTGCAGTAGGTGATGATCAGTGGTGTTTTATTGTTTTCCTTGTTGGGCCTGTCCTGCAGTAGGTGACTTCTGGGCACCGGTCTAGCTCTGTCAATCTGTTTCCTCACTTCCCCAGGTGGGCATTTAAGTTTTAAGAATGCTTGATAAAGATCTTGTAGGGATCTGTGGGATTGGAATAGATCCAGTTGTATATTAGAGATTGCTGTAGATAGTGGATCGGGTGATGTGTCATGGTTGGAGGCTAGAGGCATGTAGGTAAGAGTGGTCAGTAGGTTTCCAGTATACAGAGTTGTTTATGTGACCATCATTTATTTGTACTGTAGTGTCAAAGAAGTGGATCTCTTGTGTGGACTGGTCCAGGCTGAGGTTGACAGTGGTGTGAAAATTGTTGAAATCCTTGTGGAATTCTTCAAGGGTTTCCTTCCTGTGGATCCATTTGACGAAGATGTCATTAAGGTAGCATAAGCAGAGGAGGAATGCCAGGGGATGGGTGCTGAGGAAACGTTATTTTAGGACGTGACGAAAAGTGTGATGAAAGAAACAGAAATGTAAAGCTTGTGGGATGCAGAGGGATTAAACAGGGATCCCCAGTTCTGTGGATTTACTGGGCTCTCACATCTTCATCTTCTAGCCGCAATTCATACGACTTGTGAGAGCTGCCTAACCCTGAATTTGACGTGTCTCTCCTTTTGGCACGGTGATGAGTCAAGAACCCTAGGAAGTGTGGCAAAGGCAGCGCCAACTGGAGCAGAGCTAGTTTGTTCCCATTCTGTGTGTGTGGCCTCTTGACCTTCAGCAAGTGTCTAGATCCATCTTCAGAATCCCACGGCATAAAAATATGTGTAAATTGTACCCGGCATGATTTTGTGTTTGTTGTCTCCTTTTCCAGAACTGGTCTGGAATGAAGTGCCAATTCAAGCTGCTGCGCGTGGCTGTGGCCTTGATCTGTAGTAAGTATTGTAATATGCTTGGTGCGCACATAATCCGGTTTTGTTTACCTTTGCCATTAGTGATTAAGCATTCCCTGGCTTGGCTCTGTCGCTGTGAACCAGCAGCCCAAATTCACCGCGGCAGAACCTTGATCACTCTGGAATGCTGAGTCTGGATTCAAATGTTAAACAGGACCCTTTGAAAATTGAAGGTGCATTGTTTATTGGTATCTGGATTGTGGATGTTCATGAGGGCCTGGGGCTCATTGCTTCTCTGTGAACATTCCAATACACAGTGCTTTAATAATAGCAGTGTGTTGCACTTCTACCACCCTCTCAGTCTGAGGATCACCAAAGTATTTGGCAGGCATCAATAAAGTAAGCTGCCCTAAAACCCCGTGGCAGGGAAGTGCTATCCCTGCTTTCCAGAAGGGGAAAATGATGCACATAAAGATACCAAGGACCAAATTGTCCAAAACCCTGACATTGCCTTTTCAGAAGTAATATAGGTACTTTGGAGCCAAAGTCCCATTGACTATGGATGAGACTCACTGAAGCTATGAAGGGCCAGATTTTCAAAGGTATTTAGGTATTTAGGTCACACTGCACCTCTGTGCCAGAGGAATAAATAAAATCCTGACCTATTCACTCTCAGGCTGCAGCCTTACGCACTAGATCATCTTTCTCATGCTAATTTGAGTGCTTGAATGGGTATGTGAGTAGGTTATCCAGCTGGTTGGATAGCTAATTAGTGGGGCAGTGTGACTAGTGATTTTGAATAGCCTACAGTCTGTCAGACTAGTGGTTATTATAATGTATGTGTTATTATAAAGGTTTGTTCAGAGCCCATCACCTGAGTGCCCATATAAAAGGCTATAGACTAAGCCTACCCTCAGTAACCCCAGCCCGTCAAGAGACAAAAGCCATCCAGCTTCATAAAAAAAATGAAAGAGGCATGGGGGTGAGGGAGAGAAAAGCTAAAACTGCAGCAGCATCAGAAACTGAGCTCTGATGCCAAACTCCACTAGACCAATAAAGGAAACAAGTTCTTCAGCTCCACCAAGAACACCTGCCGCCTACCCCCTCAGAGTCAGGCATGGGACCAACTCAAGAGTGCCCCAGCCAAAGGGTATGGCAGGGGGCAATGTCAAGTGAGAATGAAAGGCTGCATTTCTCCCCTTTTGTCTTGCTATGTAAACGGGAAGCCCTAGTGCTGATGCACAAGGGGTGGGCTCATCTGCAGGAAAAAAAGAGGATCAAATGGATTTCTAACGTGTTGTCCATGACCAAACATCTTTCCACTGGTGGGGGGGCTTTTGTAATGTCAGTGTTAGATCCTGATGTCCTAGAGCAACTATATTAGATCATCCAAGTCTGGCTGTCTAGGGAATTGTAATCATATTCATGACTGCTGAGTCTTCCTGTCCTCTCATCGCTTAAGCATCAGCAATGCAGTCTACAAACAGTCTGTGGCTTGGTCTACACCTAAAAATTGCATTGACTTAGCTACGTCACTCAGGGCTATGAAAAATGTCCCCTCCTGTGCAACATCACACCCTGACTGTGTCTACACTGGCCACTTATTCTGGAAAATCAGCCGCTTTTCCGGAATAACTTGCCAACTGTCTACACTGGCCCCTTGAATTTCCGGAAAAGCACTGACAATCTAATGTAAAATTGTCAGTATTTTTCCGGAAAAACTATGCTGCTCCCGTTCGGGCAAAAGTCCTTTTCCGGAAAACTGTTCCGGAAAAGGGCCAGTGTAGACAGCCCTGTAGTCTTTTCTGCAAAAAAGCCCCGATCGCGAAAATGGCGATCGGGGCTTTTTTGCAGAAAAGCACGTCTACATTGGCACAGACGCTTTTCCGCAAAAAGTGCTTTTCCGGAAAAGCATCCTGCCAATGTAGACGCGCTTTTTCCGAAAATGCTTATAATGGAAAACTTTTCTGTTTTAAGCATTTCCGGAAAAGGGTGCCAGTGTAGACATAGCCCCTGTGTTTACAACTAGGGCCTTGTCTACACTAAATGGAAGATTGCCACTGTTGCAATCGATCTTCCAGAGTTTGATTGAGCAAGTCTAGTTAAGATTCGCTCAATCGAACTCAGAGAGTGCTCCCACTGTCGTCCGGTACTCCTGCTCTTGCCAGAAGTAAGGGAAGCCGACGAGAGTGTTTGCTCCTGTTGGCCTCCCGCTGTGGGGATGCCGCCAAGCTCAGTTTAAAGTAAACTGACTCCAGCTATGTATTCTATGTAGCTGGAGTTGCATACCTTAAGCCAAGCTGGTGTGTCTAGTGTAGACCTGGGCTAGATGATGGAAGGACTCTTTTGCAGACCTAGCTGGCACCTCTCTGAGAAGAGGATTAACTATATGGATGGGATAAAAAACCTTTCCATCCAAGTAGGAAGTGTCTATCATACAGCACTACAGTGACACAGCTGCAGCTGCATAGTTGTGATGCAGTCAGGTAGACATGGCCTCAATGGGTTCAGAACAGCGATCCCCAACTTTTTCCAGATGGGGATCCATTCTGACAATTCAGGAAGACTTGGTGACCCAAGGCAATTCAAAAACGGGGGGAGGAGGGGGTCAGAGCCACCTGGGGAGACACTTGGTGACCCTTTTGAAATGTAATGGTGACCCATATTTAGCTCGCGACCCATACATTGGGAAACCCTGGTTCAGAAGCTTCTAAACCCACTGAGGCCATGTCTGTACAACAGCAGCACAACAAGCCTGCAACACTAGAGCTATTCATCATCACTACCACCACTGGAACTGCAGGTCAGTTAACCTACAACATAAAGGCTTGGTCCTGTGAAGGCCCAAGCACCTTCAACTCACACTCAGTGCCTAAGCCAGGGCTACTCAACTTTGGAAGCCCTGGGGGCCACAATGATACTCACAGCACATGCCCAGAGTCGCAACTTAAGTGTGGTTGCATATAAGTGCAAATATATATGCAAATATATGCAAATAGCTTCATTCACACTGACGGGCATGAATACAAAGATTAAGACAAGACTATACAACACACAGGCCCCATTTAAGTCAGTTCTGCTGATATTAATAAAATGCAATATTGACCTGATTTCCACCCATATGACAGCACTTTTAATGAGCAATGACAGTCCAGGAATTGAACTACTAACACGCATATCAAAAGAAGACCATTATAGTGACTCACCGTTGTGGACTGTGTTCCCAGTGGAGGCCATGTTCAAAGGATCCCACCCACAGTCTGCATGTTGAGCCCTGCGTAAACCCAAACCGCACTGCAGGCCGCAAACAAACAGGCTGCATGTTGAGTAGCCCTGGCCTAAGCCTTTGCAGGTGGCTGGAATCACAAATACATTCTAAATGTTAAGTCAGAATTTCTTCCTGAATTAGAGCTAATTGGCAAAGACAAATCTCAACGGGAGGTTGTCTGAGAGGCATTCCTAGGCTTTCAAACTTATTTCTAGGACTTTGGTTGCTATTTTTACATTTCCATTTTTGTAATTTATAAAAGTGAACAGAGATAACGGGCTCTGAGAACTGAATTCATAGAATAAGCAGAGCAGCAACTGTGCCCATGTGCTTGAACGAAGTATCACCTCACCATTTGGAGGCCAGGAAGGAATTTTGTTTTCCTAGAGGGTCCAAATTGGCAGAGGCCTGGGGAGTTTTTCACCTTCCTTGCAGCACTCTGGAAGTGCGATGAAGTGAAATAGGAACAGAATTTAATAATTAGTGATAGTACTTGGTAAGAATATTTGTCACAGCTTGTGACGGTTTTCAATATGGTTTAAAGGCATGATTCCTAGAAGTAAAAGACTTGGGATTTTACTCATGGGCCTTGTCCTTACAGGATAGGTATGGTGACCCTATTTTCTGAACCAAAAATGGGGACTGATTCAGTTCCTGGTTTCTCTCATTAAATTATCAGTAGGGAAACTGACTCTGGTAGAGTTGTCCTCTGGCAACTGGACAAGGACCATCAGCTCACCTTGAACAGATTATTGATGGCTGGGTTTGGTCACCACAGACCTGTGGCTGATTCAGGCAAGTGACCTAGCGCAGTAGTTCTCAGACTTTCCAGACTGCTTTACCCCGTCTACTAGTCTGATTTGCTTTGCTTCAAAGCTCACCTCATTCAAAAACAACTTGCTTACAAAATCATCAGACGTAAAAGCCACAAAAGTTTCACAGCACACTAGCACTGAAAAAATTCTTGCTTGCTTGCTTGCTATCTCATCTTTACCATATAAATATAAAATGAATTGATTGGAACATAAACATTCTACTTACATTTCAGGGTATAGCACATAGAACAGAAGAAACCAGCCATTGTCTACATGAAATTTTAGTTTGTGCTGACTTTGCCAGTTCTTTTTATATAGCCTGTGGTAAAACTATAGAAATATCTAGATGAGTTGCTGTACTCCCTGGAAGACCTCTGCAAACCCCAGGGGGTATGTGTACCCCTGGTTGAGAGCCACTGGCCTAGAGAAAGAAAGGCTTCCTGCTTTGTTACCACTCAGCTGATTCTCTCTAAGGTTTCTAACTTTAATGTAGACATTTTTTCTTTAATTTCCAAGAAAGCAGCAAGCAATTAGGGCGAGTATTGCTTGTGGAATGTGGGAAATGCCACCCAGATGCCTCAATGAGTGGGAAGAATCAACGGGGCAGGCAGCAATTGGGGAAGCTAGGTTAAACAGGGAAGGAGTACAAGTGAGGCTTTAAAGCTTTCTCACCACTCCTGGGTCTCTTACCCTCCCCTTTCACTAATTTAGACACTTACCAGCTGGGCCATGTGGTGTCTCTTTTTGCTCCTCTCCAGCAGCTATACCTTCCCTACCCTGTACTAGTAGCTTTGGAGCTGTGTGTTGTGAATGCTGTGGATTCGACTGATAGGGTTTCACAGAAAATACCGAACATGGCAGGAAAAACATTGGTTGAGCAAAAAAAAAAAAAAAAGGACACAGCAGGGGTTATTCTGGGATTTTTTGTCAATTCAAGACTGTCCAGGTGAAAACCGCAC